CTGAGGAGTATTTGGCCATTTGGGCACGTGTAGGTTTAACTCAATAGGTGGGCCCACATTTCTTTTTTGGCATCTCACTTTTTAATTATATATCTCTCCTAGCGTAAGTTCTTCTTCTTCTTTTTTTTAATTATATATTTTATTTATTATTTATTTTGTATTTATTTATTCTATTTCATATGATCTTTTATTGTTCTTATTTTTAAATTATAACCAAAGCTAAGCTATTAAATATCTCTTACATAATTTTAAGCCCTATTTAATCAATAATTAAATGCCCAAACATATGATTAACCTCAAATAAAAATTCATTTCTTAATTTAAACATCAAAATAATATAAATTTGTAATTTTAAATTATCAATAAAACTCAAATTTTACAATTTATCTATTATCTAAAAATTAGGATGTTACAAAAAAACATCGAAAAAAATAAAGAACTACTGAATCATTATACCAAAGTACTGAATATATCTAGTACCACTTTTAAATATATTAGACATAACTATTGAATTCACCTTATATCATTGTTGAAAATACCTTAAATAACTACTGAAATTACATGACCATACTATAAAAGGACAATTTAAATATTCTAAATGTTATTCAGCAACTTTCTCAAGGTTAATTATTTAAAACTTGTCTCCTCTCGTGCCTCAATTTCGTAAAGTGGTCTCAAACGAATGTATGCACATGTAATTTGTTGGATGAATGTTAACTACTGAAACTAGCTAACATGATTTGGAAATATTGTTAATGTAATTGGGAAAACTAGGAACCAAATTTGGAAAGGAGTTGTTTTCAATTGTGTAATTCATAGACAACTTCATGATGTAACATCCTGAAAATTTTAAAACTCAAATTTAATTTAAAATAAAATATTTATAATTAAATTAAAATTAAGAATAACTTAATAGAAGTTCAGAGTTTGAATTTTATTAAGTAAAAGTTTGGTTTTATTTTTTTTAATTATGAAAAAAATTACCAAAGTTGCTTAAGGCTTTTGTGCTATTATAGAAAAATGTTAGGCCCTTCTTTGTAATTTTTTTCAAATTGTTTTGTTCAATTTTTAAAGGGGAAAAGAACATAGAAACATGGAGAAAAAGAAGCAAGACAACACACAAGACCAAGAGAGAAGAGGAGGAGAAGAGAAAAGAAAGAGAGGGAGCTAGGATTTGGATCTAAGAGGCTTTGTAGCCATTACTAGCTCGATTACGCAGTAGGTAAACTCCCTACTTCAATCATCATCCTTCCCTCTTGGTTTTCTTAAGTTTTTGGAAGAGATAAATTTTAGATTTTGATCATAAAGGCTTTATTCTTGTAAGCTTTGGTTTCTTTGGATCCTATGAAGGATATTTTGAGTTTCTATATAGTGCTCTAATATTTTGAGTGGGCAATTGAATGAAAAAGGGAGTTTTAGGGTAAAAATCAAACCTTAAGAGATTGAATTTCACTCTTTAATGGTTTGAGTCTATTTATTTGCTTATAATTGTACTATTTAAATCCAATAAGATTTAAATTAAGCTTTGATTTTCATTATAATAGCTAATGGTAAAAGTTGGTGATGCTAAGTGAAGGGTTTTGGTTGATTTAAAATTGTACAGTTTGAAAATTTGCCTAATGATGGCTCACACATGATTTTGGTAGTTAAGTGGTATTATGTGAATGGTTAGTTTAATATATGGACTATTGAGTTGGATTATAGCTCATTGACCCAAGTTGTGTGGTATGAGTTATAATCTTCTTTTATGCTATTTGACATGATAAGTGATGTGGATCACTTATATGTTATAGGGATTGCTGGTGAAATTTGTTCGAAAATTAAGGGACAAGCCAAGTTTCATGTTGTACAAGGGAAAATCCTTTTGGTATAAAAGGGTTGAGATTACAAGAGAATTTATATTTCTTATTGCTTTATTTGGCTATTTTTGAATAAATATTATTAGCTATCATGCATTACATGTTTTAAATGATTACATGCAATTAATTATATTTTATAGAGACTTATGGGGTGCTACTTGAATAATAGTGCATATATGTTTTCTATTTGTTTAACAATAATGTTTTTATAGAAATGAGATTGTTTACATGTATTGTAATTATAGAGAATGGAAGTTACACTTAAAAAAGTGTAACTAGGTTAGGTACCTTCAATAGGCTAAGGAACCGCTTAAGGGAGGAGCAATATTTGTCATACTACCTTAAAGTGTTGAAGTGGTCAATACTTAGGAAAGGTAAACACAAGTGAAAGACATAATGTCGGTGAGAGTTCACCAATGGGGAGGTATGAAATTGTGATATTCTATGGCACACTGCTAGTACTCAGTGTTGCCTTTTATATTGTGGGCTTAGTGCACTAAAGTGGTTAGTAGATTGAGTATTCGACACCTCTTAATGGGAGAGGGAATCCAACATATGAAGTATGAAGTTGAGTGTCTAGACTAAGATAGCCCTTACATGAAGAGTAAGTCGAGCTGGCTTTAGGAAGAAGTTAGATTCGGTTGTTTAGGATTCACGTCGAAGGAGCACAAGCGAGTAGGTGGATTTGATCATCCCTTAGATTATGTTTTGTGCTTGTAGAGATACAAGTGGGTATTAGGTTTATCTGCGAGCTAAAGAGTACCAGGGGTATTTTGTTTGTTAGCAAAGGTCATACTAGCCTATGTCATACATTCATGCATTTGAAATGATTAAATTATATGTTATGTTTAATCTATTACTCATTTATTCGACTATGGCTTACTTTGTAATAATAAGTATAGATTTCTCTGTTGCTAAAACTGTGGATGTCTTACCCTTTTTTTTCAATATTTTCAAGTCCAGGCAAAGGATCCAGTGGTGGACGAGGAAAAGAGCAGAGTTAGGAGTTGTTTGTGGATTGTAAAGAACTACAACCCTTTTCTTTTGAGAAAATCTATTATAATATATTTAAGTTAGAATACCAGTAGGATGTGTTTATATATATACGTGTGAATATGTGTGGATTGTATGCCTTTGAATGGATTTTTTTTTTTGTTTGTAGACTTGTGACTAGAAAACTTGGTTATGGTGTGTGGTTTTGATGGATTCATTTGATAAACCAAGTTTTCACTACAAGCAAAATATTTATTTTAGTACATATGTAAATATATATGATTCTAAATGCAAAGTGATTGCATTGCGAATGGTGTGCTATGGGCAAACATATACCTGGAATAGAGAGAGTGGATGTGAGGGCCCTATGGGGATCTTTGAGACAAGTGAAAATATTTTTATGCTTTCTATATGTCTCTAAACATTTTAGAAATCATTTTCTTTGTAAATTAAACTCTCACAGACTCTTTATAGAGATTCTAAGACTATCAAAATATGTAAAACTTAAACTACACCAACTCTTCACTTGAATCTTTTTAACTTCATTGTTTTCACATATAATTTTTCAATAAGTCTTATAAAATAACATTTTTACTAAATTTCTTATCATCAAAACAAGGTGATCCAACTTGGTGATATCGTTTCCTTGAATGAGACTATATTGGCAGCTCCTTTTGGCTTTTAGACATCTCAGGCTTATTAGCATCTGGGGCGTTGACCCTCTCTTAAACAGATGGATGAAGCTCTAGGGCCTCATTTTGATTATCTTCCTCAACAAGCAAGTCAAACATTGTTCCCCTTGAAACATGACCTGGGAAATTGCCAACAAAAACTCTTTTTATCCCTCGTCAAATCTTCTGCCACTTCGCAAAACATTGGGATCCCCTAATATTAAACAGAGTTTTGTCATCCACACTAATTTTAGAAATGAGAGCTTTGGATAAATCCATTACCACAACCAATCTAGCAAATTGACCTCTATCTTCTGACTTTGTGTTGTAGTCAACTTGAATAACTTTACCTAAGATAACACCAATGGCTTTGATGATATTCTTCTTATGTTATTTCACTTGTAGACCAAGTAGCCTGATCACAATGTATTAGTTACTCTTCAAGGTTAGTGATTTTTGTTGAGCCCATTTTGAATAAGTTCGAACATTAAAAATATATTATTCTATTAAGCCCAACTTTAAATCTTTTTCACATTTGTTAAGCTTGACTCAAATTACTGACTTTATATTATCCTTATCTTTATGTGAACTGCTTGTTCTGTGTGTCATAAGCATATCCTTAAAGTGCCTGTCCTCAACTGACTAGACTGTCAAGATGAAAAGATTCAAATCACATGGCTTAGTCTTCTGTCAGATTGGTCTTTTCTTTGGCAATCAATTTTTAAACGGCTATACAATCAAGAAGCATGCTCAAGAATCTGGTTTATTTCACTTTCTTTGTCTTCGATTTGCATTATGGTGGGTTTGTAATATATGCTCCAACTATACTTCAACTGGTTCAAGCATGACGATCACTTGCTGCAGGAAAAATTACATTCAGAACATCCTATCCAACAGGTGTATCTCCATGCACTCCTCGCTTGGTTTCATCCTCCAGATTTGCAAGTTGCTCGTGAACATGATTTTTTCTTTTCTGCTTTTAGTTTCTCACCTTGGTTTAATAATTTACATTCTATCATGTAATAATTTTCTTGTACATATTTTGCCCTTCAATATAATTTGCCTTCTTATAAATTTTTTTTAATAAAAAAAGCAAATCCTTTTTGTAAGGAATCGTTCGAGGTTTAGGGCTATCACCAGCTCGCATGTCATCACTAGTTTCAGCAGCATCCGAGACTTCATCCTCCACAAGGGAAGATGGTTCAGCTACATAATCATTAATCCAATTCCATGTTTGTTGAATCTTTATTTTTCTCTACATTCAAAGGAAGGATTAATCTTGACTTTGTTAATAGAGTGATTATCATCCAGGAGTAGAGCGGGAGAGAGCATTCCTCCATCGGTTCGGCTAACATCCTCTAAAAATAATGGGTCATAAGTATTAAAAAGGACTTGGTTCTCGTTCAGCTAAATTTGTGAAATGATTCTCTAAGCAACAATCGGGCGAAAAAAAAAAAACATTGGAATTAGATCCGGAGAATCAGAAAATTGGAAATATTCATTGGACGAAATAACTCGTAATGAAACAATAATGTCACGTCGCTCAAACAATATTTGGGAGTCTCCTCTCTAGACTCCTTACCACGCCTGCATTTGTCTATATAGCTAATAACTAGTAATTCCAAAATCTGTGGCACAGATCAATATTCTTTAGGAAAGATCTGAACTATTTGGAGCTCCGTAACCTCCAGCACCACGTCCAAAACTAGTTCTGCCACCAGAACCCTGCTCCATGGAATCATCATTATTTATATTATTGTAAATATAAATGTAAAATTTTACGAGAAAAGGGAATATTTATTCAATTTAATCATCAAAGTCGAGAATATACAACAGCATCAAACAAGGCAAATGCCAAAGATAGGAAAACAGCAAGGAAAAGAGAGTACAGAGACACTACGAAACGTCTGGACTAAATATAAATGCAAAATTTGAATAAATAATACAGGACAAATCCTATTTGCTTTAAAAAAACGTACTTTTTCTAAAGGAGAAAAAGTGCTTTCCCCTTGCACCAACGCAGGGGTGTAATCAGAGTTTCAGCAAGTAGAAATCATTAAACTAAGATCAAGTAATTTGAAATGGAACAATAACAAAGGAACCAGATTCCAGGAACGTGACAATTTCATGAACTTGTGAACATAGCTATGGAGATTAGAAACCCCCTCATAAACATGGATGTTCTATTGCTTCAAGATTATGATCAATGGAGAAAAACTATAAAACTGCACTGCGAAGTAAGAATGTCACAAAGCATGAATATAAAACATGGAGGTTCTATTGCTTCCTGAAACAGAGAGTTTTAATTTTGACCATTTAGATTGCGGTGCTCTTCATTCAGAACCAATTCCAATGATGTGGTTAATAGAGTAAAATTTTAAATTTGAGCAATGAAAATCAGAATGTCACCCGGAACCTGAATATGAATCAGGAATTCCACAAACTGGCAGCCTACACCAGCTATCATAATTCAAGCAAGTTATCAGTAACATATCTTCTTTAACCGTACGCACTATGCAGCAAGAAGAAACTACAAGCAAACGATGGAATTAGTTTCATCCACACACAAACACAATTTGAAAATGACCACATCCAATGCCACGCTAACCAGAGATACTAAAGAATGCTGAATCTAGTGACTATGCAGTAAGCAGGAAAAAATCTTACCCCAAAAGAGGGTCTGTAATCAGCAGGTGCACCACCCTTGTCACCAAAGTCACCACCAGGACCTCGGGGACCTCCACGGTAGCCATCACGGTCACCAAATCTCCGTTCTCCTTCGAATCTAGGTGGACCCCTGTTCACAATCATACGCAGTTACCAAGAGGCACTCAAATACAGAAGCATACAGAGACATATTACAATCAGATGAACACATAACATACGAGATTGAGTAGCCAATTAGAATGAAATTAGACAATTAGATATTTAAGATAAAGTAATCGGTATGAAAGAGGAATTCACCGAGGGCGATCGCCAGGTGGGCCGCCGAAAGGCCTACCAACAGGCTTAGCTTGTTTCTTCAAAGTAGCCGGGACGATCTCAGAAGGGAGATTGAGGTAGGTTCTAAGGAACTCGATGCCATCATTGGTGAGATACCAGTAATAGTGCATCCAAGCGAAGGTCTCGCGGACATACTCCTTCGACTTGAAGCTCTGCATCAACTTAATCACCTGTAGATTCGGTACATCAATCTCAGGATGTTTTGGCATATTGAAGTCCTTCTTCGCATAGCAAACTCCCTCTGCACAGAAATAACAAAGTTAAAACACAAGGGGGAAGTCTAGGAGAGATTCAAACCAGAAGGATAATATAGGGTAATGAAGGGACCTTTGAAGAGGTATTTGCATATCTCTCGACGGTTCTTCTCGGGAATTATCTAGGAACATCAATTCAGAAAACGCATAAATCAAATCGGTCGAGTTACAGAGATTTCAAGTAAGCAAAACTGCTTTTCATTGAAGTGTTGAGATAGAACACAATACCATGGTTTCGGCGGCGGCGGCACAGAGCCCGGATCACGGTGGGTGTGGAGACAGGAGATTAACCACGCTCTTGTTCAGAGTTACAAAACCCTAATCCGATAACTTTTGGTTTTATACGGAAATGGAAATTCATATCACATTCCAATTTTGTTCTGGTTGGGTCTCATCAATGGGCTTTAATTTCATAATTTTGTCTATGGTCCACGTGCGATTTCCATATCATAATTTAGTTAGTTCCCTACAATAGGACACTCTTACGAGTTACGACCAACATTATAAAAATTGAATTGATTTAAGTATTAATTCATGATTCAATAGTTGGACTTCAGTTCAAACCACAGTTCCACCGGTTATAAATAAATTAATATATTTTTAATATTATATATTTAAAATAAAAAATAATCATATATAGCAATAAAAATAAATATTTAAATTTCAAACAAAATAATATACAATAAAAAATATAATATCCATCAATATTATAACATTTTCATCCAAAACATATACAAGTGTTTCATAATTCATAATTTATAACTTTAAAATATATACACATATACATAATTTATACATATTCCATACATTTTTTTATTTCATAATGCTTATTAGGTATAAATATGCATAAATTATAATTTAAAAATATAAATTTAAAATAAAAAATTTAAAAATAATATAACCGATTCAACTGGTTCTTGCCCGGTTTTGGCCGGTTCTATCGGTTCGTGGCGGGTTATATTGGTTCGTTGCCAATTCTCAAAATTTTTGATTTTTTGTGATGACCGGACCGGACTTAGGACCAGCTTCTAGTTGAATTGGTTGGACCAGCCGGTCTAGTCTGGTTCTAATAACACTGGTTATGACTTCGCTTTCGCCCTTGTTATAAAAAAAATATAAAAAAAATCAGGAGAAAGAAGGTTATTAGCCTAAAAAAAATAAAATGTAGGGATAATATAACTTTTAACTCTTAAATTTTTTTAATTGTCAATTTAATAATTAAACTTTGATTTAGTGCAATTCAATTCTTAGAATTTATTGAGTTAAAGAATTATAGATGCCAACTTGTATTAAGTCAAAAAATTATAAAAATTGAATTATTTCAAATTAATAATATAAGAAAAATGGTCACTAATGTCAATATGTGTGTCATTGGCCATCAATTTTAGTTTTATTGACGCTTATACAACTATTAATAATTATTGAATAAAATATTGTTAAAAAAAGTAGGGATTAAAAATTGGGAAAATAATAATAAAATTATACAAAAATATGTAAATGATAATTAAATCCCTTAAAATGCTATAAATCCTTTGAAGTCATTGGATATCTTTTTGACATTAATGATTTTAGATTAAATGATTAAAGTGCTTCTTATTTAAAATAAAAATAGCAAGTCCAGCTCCATTTTCCCAAACATTATTCAAATAATTACAACTTTTGCTCTATGAATCACAAAAATTAAATAAGAAATCATAACTTCTCACGTGAAATTTTTTTTATGATTAATAAACAAGTTATGAAAATAATCAGTCTTAATCAAAATTTTTGTTTAAATAATCATAACTTTGATTATGTGAATCGCAAAAAATTGAGTAAAAATCACAACTTTTCATATAAAATTTCTTTTATTATTGAAGTTCAAATTCTGAAAATAACCAATTATAACTTTTATTTAAACAATCACAACTTTTATTATGTGAATCATAAGAATTAAACAAGAAATCACAACTTTCATGTAAATTTCTTTTATCATTAAAGTTTAATTTTTAAAAATAACCAAATGCAACATTTGTTTAAGCAATCACAACTTTTATTTTGTGAATCACAAAAATTAAACAAAAAATCACAACTTTTCTCATGAGCATGTTATTTTTTTTTTTTTAAAATTTTAAACAAAGGGCAATTAGTCTTTTAACATAAAATCATTGATGTCATAAAAGAACTTAAAAATTTCAGAGAAATTATGACATTTTGAGAGATTTGATTGTCATTTATATATTTTGATGGAATTCATTGCCATTTTCCCTATAAAATTTACATTATTTTTGACATTTTGATGACTCTATATTTTTACTTATAACTACAGTGTTTTTAGTTGCATTTTGGGGAGTTATCAATAAAAAAGCAAAGTGTTTTCATACTTAATTAAAGAGATGTTAACTATGGCTATCACATGGGTTTAGTGTAATATTTTAAAGAAAATGATTTAAGTTGGGTGAGTTTTAAGCAAACCAATTATTCACTTGTGAAAGTTGATTTTAATAGGTGAACATCAATGAACTAGAATAATATTGTGAAAGAAAAGGGGTTACATCTATTGCAACATTTTCCTTAATGCACAATAAAGCTCATTTGTAACATCTTATTTATTTTCTCATTGTCAGTTTAAGATTCTTAATAGTATAAATCGGACTCCCTTGTGTCCTTGTAAAGTATCATATGCTGAAGTAAAAATCAAAATATTTCTTTTCATTTGGTTTGTGTACCGTTCTCAGTATCAAAGAGAGGTTCTAGAGACAGGGAATCACTTGAAAAATACCCTAAAAGCATATTTGAGAAATCGTCATTGAAGGAGTTCACTGTCACTCTTAGAAGTTGTATTTTCAGCTATTTTTTAGACTTTTGACCTCGCCATCATGTTTAGGAGATCTAAAAACTTGGAATAGGAGTCGACCCATCACTAGAAATGCCTCCGCTAGTTGTCACCAAAAGCCCACTCATTGTCACTGTCGTTTCACATGCCACACATGCCTACTGGAGGTTGAAGACATTAACGTCATCAGCCACATCACCTGATCTGCCTAGTCAATGATAGGTCAACCACCCATATATTGCCACGATCCCATGTGCCATGTCATCCTGCCTAGTCAGCTATATTTCCTAAAATTTTGATTTGACTCGTAAAACTTTCAAAATTTCCATTTTGACTCATTAAACTTTTTGAAATTCCATTCTTACACCACATTTTCCAAAAATTACACTTTCACCCTTAATTTTACAAAAATTCCATTTTAACCCCATATTTTCTCAAAATTACATTTCTACCTTATTTCCCTGAAATTTTCCTTTTCACCCCTATGCCCTCAAAAAATTATAGCCACACCCCTATATTTGTTTTTCCAAACATTGAAATCAGCTATCCAGTCTCGTTTCAATAGTATTAGACCTTAGATGATCTAATTCGTCTAGCCATTTGTTGAGAAGTAAATGCCTAAGAGATCATCTTTCCAGCCTTATTCTTTTAGGGGTTATTTATATACACGTAAGGTAGAGTTTCAATAGCCTAACCCTTCGGCCAAGCTGCAATCTAGCATTACATGCAACCTCCACCAAATGTCTCCAAGGTGTTTGGCTCTAAAGCAATACAATACTCTAAATGCCAAGGATTCGGCTACATTATTGCAAATTGTCCTACTTGAAAGGCTGTTGCCATTACAGAAGGGCAAGTATATGAAGAACTTGAAGATGCAGAGAAGATCAAATCTTATGAAATTGAGCCAGTATAGGATGAACAAGTTATTCTTGTAGATTAGGGTAAAGCATTGGTGATTAGATAAAGTTTGCATATGACTGTAGTTAAGGAAGAACCTTAGTTACAACGTAATATTTTTCACACCCATTGCATGGCCCAAGAAAAAGTTTGTAACATCATCATCGATAATGGAAGTTATGAAAATGTAGTGTTTGACTGCATGATAGGGAAATTGAAGTTACCAATTCACGACTATCTACATCCTTATAAGCTTTACTATCTTAATAAGGAAAGTGAGGTAAAAGTTTCTAAACAATGCCTTGTTACTTTTTTTTATTGGGAACATGTATTGTAATGAAGTTGTGTGTGATGTTGTTCTTATGGATGCATGCCACCTTATTTAGGGAGACCATGGCAATATGATCAACATGCTATGCATGATAGGCATGCAAACACCTATTCTTTTATGAAAGATGGTGTCAAGTTTACATTAATACCTCTATCGCATAGTGAGATTAACTAATCCTTAATGGAATCCAAGCTATTAGTAACTTTGATGACTAAGGAGGAGTTCAAGGTGCCAAAGTATAAAGCCTAAATAATGAGTTTCATTTTGCTGCTTGTGGCAAATGATGAATTTACCAATCTACCTAGAATTATGCCATTATTTTTTGAATTTCCAAATGTGATACCTAATGAGATACCACAAGGGTTGCCAATCATACGAGACATACAACATGCCATTGACTTTGTTCTAGGATCAATCATTCTTAATAAGCTTACTTATAGGATGAGTCCTCAGGAACATGCCAAGTTTGGTGACAAGTTGAAGAGCTGTTGAAAAGGGTTGATTTGAGAAAGTGTCAGCCCTTATGCTTTACCTGTTCTTCTAGTACCTAATAAGCAGGGGATGTAATATCTTGGATTTTAATCCAAGAGAAACTAGTTTCTAATTAAGGATAGACTAATAATTAGTCGGTTGATTATGGTTTTGGATGATGGATTGATATTTTATGTTGTTTGGCTGGTATGTTAATAGGATTGAATGGTGAAACAAAAAGCTAGAATAAAATGTGTGAGCAATAGTGAGAGTTGTCTCACTATGCCACGTACTGTGGCATGTGCTACATGCACCGCAGCTCATGGCACATAATTTACTTAAAGATGATGTGCTTTAGCTTATAGATCAAGAGGAAGAGGAAGGAAATAGATGCGTGAAAGGGAGAAAGAAGAGCTCATTTACTAGGGCATCGATTTTCAAGAGTTAAGGAGTTTTCTCTGACCAATGACTTATCAGGTAAGTTTTGTACTGCCCTATACTACATTTCTACCTAATTTTTGTAAGTTTGGTTAGTAGGTAAATTGGATTAGGGAGTTTTAAGCGATTAAAATATGAGGGGAAGGTTTAAAAGGGTTCTTGGTGATAGAACACATTTGTTACCCACTTTTATTTGTCAATTAGGACCTTTTTATTTATAATTTATCACCTCAAAGTGCAGTCATTGCATTAGATTTGAAATTTTACCTAAGTTTCTAGTTTAGTGTACCAAGGGCATTTTGGTCTAAAAAATGATCTTGTGAGAAAATGTAGAAGAAAAATTGACAAATTTTATTTTATGTCTAGTTGATGAGTGGTAAAATTATATTTTTAAAATTCATTTTAGTTTGAGAGTAATT